GTCACTTCAAGGTCTACTCAGATCATCAGACCTTGCAGTGGATTAAGACACAAACTGATCTCTCCCCGACGCTGAACCGCTGGTTGCATGACATTGATGTGTACAATTTTGAACTGAAACATAAGGAAGGTTGTTACAATCATGTTGTTGATGCTTAGTCGCGTCACCCTGAGTTTTTGACTTGCCTTGTGACTTCGTATGACCTCTGAAGGAAACTGAAGGAGGATCTGGTCGAACACACCGCCAAGGATCCGGACCTTGGTCCCATCCTTGAGCAGCTCAAGGCTGACCCTAGCAGTCAACCTGATTTTCATGAGTGCGAGGGTCTTGTATTCCGCCGGTATGGGAAGTTTGATCGTTTGTGTGTACCCAACCATGCGCCCCTCCGGACTCATTTCTTGGATTTGGCACATGGTCGGAGTGGACACTTCGGCTTTGAGAAGACTTATGGAAGTCTCTTGCAACAGTTTGATTGGCCGGGAATGAAGGGATCTGCTCAGAAGTTTATTGCTGAATGTCAAGTCTGTCAAAGAACTAAGGTCCACAGGCATAAGCCTTATGGCCTGCTGAGACCCCTCCCCATTCCTGATGGACCCGGTGAGTCGATTTCCATTGACTTCACGGACATGGGAAAAGTGAGCGAGGGAGGAAATTCACAAGTCATGGTCATCGTGGATCGATTTTCCAAACTTCTGCATTTGATTCCTTTCCCTCCCCATGCCCCAACTGAGCTTGTCATCGAAGAATTTCATCAGCAGTATATTCTGCAGTTTGGCCACCCGAAAACTATTGTGAGTGATCGGGACACCAGATTCATTAGCAAAGATTGGAATGACTTCACTTCTCAGATCTACGACATTAAATTCAACAAGACTTCTGGTCGACACCCCGAAGCCAATGGATTGGCTGAGGAAATCAACTAGACTGTCATCCAACTACTTCGCGCATTAATTGTTCCAGATCAGAACACGTGGGACAAGGAGTTATACAAAGTGAAGGGGTTGTACAACAACTCCATTCACTCTACAACGGGTGTGACACCGAATCAGCTGCAATATGGATGGCAGTTGCGCAATCCTCTCTCTTATCTGTTCCCCGAACGGTCACTTGGCCTGACGCCCGGCATGCCCGACTACAATGCCAAGTATGCACGCTTGCTCAAAGTTGCTATCGCAACAATGAACAAGCGTCGGCATGCTGTGATCAAACATGCTAACAAATCGCGCAAAGAAGGGACCTTCGAAGTAGGAAGCTATATCTGGGTTGAAATGTCTGAGTTTTCTGACGAAGTGGGCGTATCACGAAAGCTTCTTCCATTGTACTATGGCCCTTGGCAGGTTCTGAAGGTGATTGGGGATGATTTTGGTCCTTCATATGTGATTGACGTGCCTCCTCATCTGCGCACATATCCGGTCTTTCACGCGTCCAAACTGTTCCCACACATCGATGATGAGACTTTTCCCTTCCGAGATCCTATGATACCTCGTCCTATCGATGGCGGTCATGAAATAGACAGAATTGTTTCCCACGAGGGAAGAGGGAGGAACAAACAGTACAAGGTTCACTTCCTCTACCACCCGTTGACCGAATTCTTCTGGATCGACCGAAAAGAGCTGCTAAAGAGTGTTCCCCGTGTTGTGAACGCTYATGAACGACAGATCGCTGATGGACAGATTGCTAAGTTTTCTGCAAAACTCACTCCCTACGGTCTTACTAAATCCCTCTTTTTTATCTACGCCTACGATGCATTTTGTGCCGACTCTGAATGAGTTACTCGCTCGAAGGGACCTCGCCCTTGAGAGGGGGGTAGTGTAATGACCCGCCAAAAACACAGACTGGGAACACTGCTGATTTCTGGGATTTGCCACTGGAATGAATGCCTTGCTGTGATTCCCGCATTCTGCTGTGGTTTCCATGTGTGTGTGTGTGTGCGTGCCTGCTGGTTTGCATGCCTGTCTGAGTGCTTGACGGTTGAGTGTGCGGGTGACCCGCAAGGGTACTTGTTGATTGCAAGGCCCCGCAGGGCCGGTACTTACCTGTGGCCGTGACTTTGAGGGTTGCAGCGGGGGAAAACACTTGAGTAGCGGGGGGTAGGCCCGCGACACTTGGAGCAGAGGGGAAAAACACTCAAATAGCAGGTAGGCCGGTACCACTGAAGTAGTGGTAGAAGTGTCGGGTACTGGAGTCCGAGCAGAAGAAGACAAAAAGTTGGCATTTTTAGAGGTCCAGTAGCAGTAGGCTAGAGGTAGGCCGGTACCAGTCCAAGTAGCCCGGGTCTAGGGCCTATCCGGAGGTTAGCAGAGCCTGCAATGATGTTTCCCTCCGAAAGGGAGGAGGTACCGGTTGCTGGGAGGCCGCTCGGCCTAGGAAGTCGCCGCCCAGGAGGCCTGTGCAACCGTTTGAACGCCGTGAACGCGCGTCCACGTTCAAACGCGCGCGTTCATACCCCCCGGACCCGCGTTCAATCACGTTCAAACGCGCTGCGCGCACGCGCGCACGAAAAAATTGAACGCGAGCCCGCGGGGCGCGCGCGCGCATCGTGGGCTACGGGGTGGTGGCACTGGTTTAACAAACCCCAAAAGTGAAAAAAAAAGCCTCCACGGAGTACCACCACCCCCGCCACAAGTACAGCGTCACCCCCCACCATTGTGTGTGTGTGAATGTGTGTGTGTGTGTGTGTGTATGATCCTTCTTTTTTTTTCGGGGGCGTGGGGGAAACCCCCTAACATGGCTCAGACGGCCCATGCAGGCTGTCTGAGGGGTCCTCGCAGCCATGTGGCTCAGACCCCCCCACCCAAATTGAGGAAGGCAGCAAGTATGAGGTAGAGCACGAGCTGGCTGAATTTATGCACACACACACACGTTCAGATCTGTGTTTTAGCAGTTATGGGTTGCTCACGATGCTACCGTAGGCCGTGGTGGCCTTTGCACGTGATTCTCTGCACGTGATTCTCTGCACGTGATTCTGAAAAAGAGAAAAACAAGAAAAAAACAAAACAAAAGAAAAGAATGAATCTTCTGCAGAACATGGAATAATACAGTGTCTTTTGTGCATGTGCTGAGTAGAGGCCCTTAGGGCCACTGCACGTATTCCTAAGAAAAGAAAAACGATTTTTCTTTTTTTTTTGTTTTTGTTTTTTCTTGTTTTTGTTTTTTCTCGTTTTTCTTGCTTTTCTTAGGAATACGTGCAGTGGCCCTAAGGGCCTCTACTCAGCAGATGCACAAAAGACACTGTATTATTCCATGTTCTGCAGAAGATTCATTCTTTTCTTTTGTTTATTTTTTTTCTTGTTTTTCTCTTTTTCTCCTTTTCTTTTTTCTTAGGAATACGTGCTGTACGTGCAGAGACCACCGCGGCCTAGCATCGTGAGCAACCCATAACTGCTGAAACACAGATCTGAACGTGTGTGTGTGGGCATAAATTCGGCCAGCTCCTGCTCTACCTCATACTTGCTGCCTGCCTCGATTTGAGTGGGGGGGTCTGAGCCACATGGCTGCGAGGACCCCTAAGACAGCCTGCATGGGCCGTCTGAGCCATGTTAGGGGTTTCCCCCACCCCCCCCGAAAAAAAAAGAAGGATCACACACACACACACACACACACATTCACACGCACACACACACAAATTCATGCACATTCTTTTTTTTTCTTCTTTTTCTTACCCTTTCGTCTGGGGCACTGGCCCACATCCCCCCCAAGCAGCACCGCTGCCCCCCACACTGCCCACAGCCTCCCCAAGCACCGCCACCGCTCCCCCCACTGCCCAAAGGCCTCCCCCACCCCGCACAACCCCCTGCGCAAACGCGTTTACCCCCGTTCACTGAACGCGCGTTCACCGTGTTCAAATCCTGAACACGAAACGCGCGTTCAATGAACGCGCGCTAACATAGCAGGAGGCCAGTAGGCCGCTATATCTTTCGGAGGAGCAAGTAGCTCCTCCTCATTTGCGGTATGCAAGGGTTGGCGACATGCTGCTGGAGCACAGCGCTGGCTGATACAGCGCTGCTTGGAGGTGAAGGGCAGCTGGCGCTCAGCCTGGCTATGGCGAGCAGCCCAGCTTGAGGAGGAGGAAGAAGGGGGCTAAGGAGGAGAGTGGCGAGGC